GGCAGCGTGACCGGAAGACGATTGGGAACGCCTGGCTGTATCTGCATCACAGGATGCCTCTCCGTCGTCTATAGGATGGAGCAAAACCAAACCCACTGCATTGACCCAATTCGGACGCACAGCGACCCTGGAGGATAAAGTCGAAGTTGCCCCCTAGGGAATTCCACGGCGGGACTCTTCCCAGAGCAGAAAAGCCTCAGGCGGGAGGGTTCTACCTGCTGCCCCTGCGGCTAGCAGCCGCACCCCGAACCCACAGACGAAGTCTTTGCTAGGATGAATTTGCCCCCACGGACAGTGCCCTCGGCGACAATTACTTCTGAGCCGCAGAAAGACCAGGGCATCCAAGGTGTTGAGTCACAAGGCACAGCCGTTGCGCGACGTAAACAGTATTTGATGACGGAGATCTCACGGGGCCAGGTGCCAAAGCAAACGGCTGGCCAGGACGACTGTGGTCACTGCTGAGGGGAAAAGAGTAGGGTCTGAGACACCGGCGGCCCCGGCCCTAAAGGGACTGCTGTTTAAGTCTGAGGCGAACTTCAGGCTTCGCCTGTGACCTGTGCGCGTCCCTAGGCGGCTGTGAGGAGAAACGGGCTTTGCGGCGTGATTCCCGCCAACCCACAGACGAGAAACTCGCCCACTGGCACCCTTCCTCCCCGTCCCCGCCCCTCCTCCCCAGCCCGGGGGATGCTCCGGCTCCAGAGCTTCGCCATTCATCAACCGGTTCACACCGGCGGCGGCCGCCGCGCAGTGACGTCCCCCGTGGGGGCGGGCCTTCGCCCCCGCTCGTAGGCAATGAGTTCGCGTCTACGGCCCGCAATTGGCGCCCGCGAGTGCGTACGTCGGCACGGGTATAAAAGGGCAGGCTTGTGACGCAAGTGCGCCTCGGCGCGCGCATTGGCTCTCTTTCCTGCGGGCCGGCTGGGCGACGCGCTCTCTCCGGAGCCGCTCACTGCATGGTAGAGCCTGGTGCCCCCGCCGCCGCCTGCACCGCTGCCGCCTCCGCCCCGCCACGACCACCAC